TCGTGTTCGGGGTGGAGGCGCCCAGGGCAGGAGCCCCGCCGGGCCACCCGAGGAGGAGCGGGAGGAAGAAGCCGACGAGCCGCAAGGCTGCCTGCTGCGCCATCGCTGCTTGCTGCTGCTGCTGCTGCTGGAGGCGTCCTCGACGGGAGGAAAGGGGAGCGGGCGGGCGAGCGGGCGACGATCTCCGGTGGCCGGCTGCTGCCCGCCTTTTATAGCTGCGGCAAGAGGAAGTTTTCCGGCCTTGCGCAAGCGGGGAAGGCTCCGGCGGAGCAAGGCGGGAGGGGTTGCCGGGAAGGGCGGCCCGATTCCGGGACTGTGGTGCCCGTCACGACAGGCAAAGTGAAACCCCGGTGCGAAGGAGAGCCAGAGGGTTGGGGGCTGGGAGGGGGAGCATCTGGGACCGATGGAAAGAGACGCCTCTTCGAGCCACTTGTGAGCAGGACAGGGACGCCCCCGTCCCGGCTTCTGCCAGGCTGGGATGGAAGGAGAGGCCAGTAGCGAAGAGCCCACCAAGGAAGCGCGCGCGTCTGCGAGAAGCCTCCGGACGCCCCGGGGCTGCTTGGCAAACGGGGCGGGATGACGGCTGGCGGGGCTCTTGTGGTGTTCGCTGCTTGGCGCCGCCGGCCGGTCGCCAGCCCCGCTTCCCTTTGCGCCGCAGGCAGCCAGAGCGCCCCAGCCTCCTACGAGGGCCCAGTCTCGAAGCCGCCGCCCAGGCCGTGGTGGTCGGTCGCGGGGTGCCCAAGGGCGCGGGTGAGGGAGCAGCAGCTCTTTCCCTGTTAAGGCGAGACGGCCAGCCCCCGAGGCCAGGTCGGAGCGAGCCGCTGGCGCCCAAGGCCTTGAGGCGGAGGGAGCGTGTTTCCCGGGCGGAGGCCAGTGCCGTCCATGGGGGGCGTGAGGTCCTGTCCTTCCTCATCCCTCAAGGTGTGTCTAGCAAGGCATCAGCCTCCCAACATCGCTGCTTTGTGTGGCAAACACCCGAAGCGAGGAGGTGGCGCCTACACTGGCCGCATCCAGGCTGCTGCTGCTGCTTTTTACATCCCTTTCATGCCCCGAACTTGTAGTTCCATGAACCAGAAGCTCAGGCCTCAGGTGGCTCAAGGACGGGCTGAGCCAGAAACCCCACATTTCTCTAGACTAGAAGATGGGCCTGCCCAGGTCTGTCTCTGCTGCCCCTGTTTCGACTGACCTGAACTGCTGCCTGAATCATAGAAGAATCTACAACAGTTCCAAGATCCTTCTCACCCATAGTATTACCGAGCCAAGTATTCCCACATCTTGTAAATGTGTTTCTGGTTCTCCCCCACCCCCCACCCCCACCCTGGTGGAGAACTTTACACTTAGGGTGCTCAAGCCTATCTAGATCATTTCGAATTTTGTTTCTGTCTTCCAGGGCATCAGCTCTTCCACCCAATTTTGTGTCATCTGCAAATCTGATCATCATTCCCTGCATCTCCCGATCCAGATCATTAATAAAAATGGTGAAGAGCACCAAGCCCAGTACTGACCCTTGTGATCTCCTCCCAGTTTGAGCAGGCTCCATGGATAAGCATCGAGCACCAGTCTGTAACCCATTGTGAATCCACCTGATAATTGTTCTATCCAGCCCACCCCTAGTTAGCTTTCTAATCGGGATATTACGGGAGCACTTTTGTCAAAAGCTTTGCTGAAGTCAAGATCTATCATGTCTACAGCATTTCTGCCATCTACCCGGGAGGTGACCTGATTAAAAAATAAGGTAAGTCTGTTGGCTCCTAGTTTTTACTGCACAGTTCTGTTCCAGAATTTTCCCTGGGATTGACGTCAGGCTGGCTGGCTTATAGTTCCCAGGTTCCTTCTTTTAGCCCTTTTTAAAGATTGGGGCAACCTTAGCTCTCCTCCTTTAACCTGGGACCTCACCCATCCTCCATGATTTCAAGGAAACAATAGACAATGGTTTGACTGTTCCTTCAGCCAGTTCCTTCAACATCCCTGGATGCCGTCCATCCAGCCCTGGGGATCTGAACGAAGGTATTCCTTGATTATTTGTTTATCAATCTCCAGCTGCACTCCTATCCATTCCCTGAAAGGCAAGATGCCAAAGGACGTGGATGGAAACTGCGTCACCTCTCTCTCCCATCATGCACAGTAGCGCCCCCCCCCCCAATCCTGGAGCAGCAGGAGGAGGATGTCACTGCTGTGGCGAAGACAACCTCAAGGAGTGCCTTCCAGGATCTCTCAGCTCAACGTCCCCCCCCAACCCACCCCCGGCTGAGGGACATAAAGAGACTCCTGCTATGAGAAAGGCAAGATATCCCTCCCCCCTCCCCCGCAGTCTGGGGTAGTTCCTGGCTGGGCACCAAATTCTTTGGAGGTTGCCGGCAACAGTTCCTCCTTCTCCTCTGTGGGTTTGTGCGCCTTTCCGCCCACGAAGTTGGGCACGAGGGCAGCCGGTCACTGTGCCCCGTCCCGCCAGAGCTTGCTCAACACTGGGCTTCTGCTTTCAGGCCCTGCTTCCCAGCAGCCCTTGGATGTTGGCCCGCTGTTTTCTCGCTCTGCTCCACCAGCCGTGGCAGCTGGGAGCCCTTGCGCTGGGGCTTGGGCCTCTTCATGGCTGAAGGGGAGCCGGCAGGGCTGGGGCTGCCGAGAATCCCAGCCCGGAGGGAAGCTTGGTGGGGTGTGATGGGGGAGGCCCTATGCCTCACTCTCTGCGTGTGATACAGCCTCGGACAGTAGCCAGCCCTTTGATCCCTGCACAAGAGGGCCAGCATCCCAAACAGTGGCTCCCAAACAGATCCCCTCCCAAGGGGCTGTGGGCTAAAGAAAGCCTGGCGCAAGTGGAGAGGAGGGAGTTGCTAGGCAGAGCATGTACTTTAGGCCATGGAGGCCGGGTGGGGGGAGCCTCTGCCCTTTGGTTGGAACTGCCGGGGGGGGCAGCAGTGCACCCCGATTCCCCCGGAGAAGGAGGGAACCCTGGGCTGCGCTTGCATCCACTCTGCTCCTTCGGCATCCGGCTGGCGCCCGGCAGTATTTGGATGCCCTGCCTTTTCTGGCAATGGGCTCAGACTGCGGCCAGGGCACCCTTGTGCTCACATGGGGAAAGGTGAGGGCAGAGGAGATGCAGAGCCTCCAGCCGAGGGCCGACGTCTTCCCCAGGCAGAGGGTGTCGGGGGATTTCTGACTCCAAGCTATGCCCAGGGGAAACACCATTGCCTGGGAAAGGGGCCCCAGCCCCTGCTTTTTCTGGGGGAGGGGTGCCACTCCGTCCCCTGCCAGGCTCCTGGAGTGAGCAACAGGCTGCAGAGGGAGCCCCCCTCTGGGACCGCTGGAGGAGAAGGTAACTCTTCCCAAGGCAGCCCAGGGAATGGGCCGGACCTTGCACCCTTGGCCAGGAACCACCCCGAGAGCCCCATGGAGGCCCCTCCAAAGCACCAGCACCAAATTGTGCCCCTCTGCTCTCCCCCCTCCCACCCGATATGGAGGAAGCCAGCTGCAGCCCAGGAACCAGAAAGCGGGGGAGGGGAGCTCCCCAGGACGGGAACAAGCAGCCACAAAGAAAGAGAGCGAGAAGGCCTTTTCTACAGTCAGGTTTTTTAAAATTTATTTTAAATTAAAATTACTCAGCATCTAAAAATAATTCTGGTGCAGCCCAGATTGTGTAGAGCTTGATTGTGTGCAAATCAAATTGGGGTGTGTGGTGGGGGTGGGATAGGGATAGAGAAAGCAGGGTGGGCGGGGGGCTGGAGGGCAGGGGCCAGGCTCCTCAAGGCCCACAGAAATCTCCACTCCACCCCCTATAAAAAGTGCGGCGCCTCCTCTCGGCTGGATCGGCAGCAGGAGGAGGAGGGTGGGCATTGGTGGGGGGGGATGAGGGCAAAGGGGTCCTTCATACACACCATGCAGAGGCAGAGCCCTGGCCAGAGAAAGGCAGGCAGGCCCCCCACAAGGGAGGGGGCAGAGGAGATTCACAGTGTAGAAGGGGAAGGGGTGCTCGTCCCTTCCCCCCCCCCCGCCCTTGCCCCACCAGGAGCTGGAGACAGCCTGGGCCAGCCAGGAAAGGGAGGTGCCCGCAGGCCTGGGCACAGCTTCCCGAGAGCCACACGGCGCCAACACCTCCTCGCCTAGGGTGGCAGGGACAGGCAGTGCGGCCAGCCGACCGGCTGGGATCAAGGGCTGCCCGAGCCGCCTGCCGGCGTGGTGGGGGCAGAGAGGGTCTTCTGGGCTGCCCGGCGCTCCAGGGCCAGCTGCATGCTCCAGATGCTGAGAGGGCGCATGTAGGCCAGGGAGCGATAGATCCTGCGCTGGCAGTAGGCCTCGGGGGTCTGGAAGGCCATGCCGAGGCGCTCCCAGACCATCCGGTAGCAGCCTTCGGCCGTGCGGAAGCCCTCCTGAACGAGGCCCTGTGGGGGGGGGGGTGACTTTCCATGAGCAGGTGAGGGGACCCTCCCCCCCCCCGGTCTGCTCTCACCTCCTGGATCATGGTGGCCGCCAGGGCATAGACCACACCCACCCAGACCTCATCCGACTGGACGCTGGAGGTGTCCGGCACCCCGCTGGGGCTCATGCCATTCACCGCCCCCATCGTCCCCTTGGAGAAACCCAGCACGTTCATCTCAAAGATGGTCTTCAAAGCGCTCAGGACGTGGCTTTGGGGAAACACCTGGGAGGATGGCAAGGGAAGAAGGCCTTCAGGCCGAGGGGCGCTGTGCCAGAGCCGGGTGGCGTGGCACTGCCCAGGCAGCCTGCAGGGAGCTCTGCACCTCGGCGACCGTTTTCAGGAACAGCTAGGCAGGTAATTCTGGCCCTCAAGCAGCTGACCTGGGAGCCCTGGCAGCATTCATGCCAACTCCCCCCCCCCCAAAAGGCCTGCAAGCCCCTGACCCCTTTGGGGCTCTCAACCCAGTGCCCAAGTGGACTTTCTTTCCTGCTGGAACTGTCTCTGCAGGACAACATTTAAAGGGGGGGGCTCCGGACTCTCCAGCCTCCCTCACCCCTTCGCCGAGCCCACAGGCACGCAGGAACCACTGCCCAGCCAGCTGGTCCGACATGATGCTGTTGGAGGAGGCGCTCCTGCTGCTGTCGTAGTTGTAGTATCTCCCTAGAACAGGAGGAGGGAGAGGAGAGGGGAGAGGGGGTGAGGCTTGGGTTGGGCCCCCACTTCCAGATCCCCAAAGGCCTGCTGGAGGAGGCCAGCTGGCCGGCTGACCAGCCCCCACCTCACTCTCGCGGACATACCATTCCAGAGCAGCCTCTCAAAAGCTGCTTTGCCCTTGGCCAGGATAGCGGCATATTTCTGCAGGGCTTCGCCCTCACCCAAGATCTCGGCCATTCGGCACATCATGCAGACGGCTGCCAGCCACAGGCCCCCGCAGTAGGCACTGCCAAAGCAAAGGAGAGGCAGGTTGGCAGAGCCTCACTCCCAGCAGCCCCGGGCAGAAGAAACCAGGCGTTCCATAGAGGCAGCGAGAGCCACAGCGAGAGCCCACCGTCGGCAGAATCTACAGGAAGCCCCTTTTGAGCGGGAAACGAAGGGAGCCCACAAACCGCCAGGACCCCGGAGAACATGCAACAACTGCAGCCCCAACACCTGTCGGCCGGACTGTGAGAGCCCCCTTCCCTCCAAGAGAGAGAGAGAGAGAGAGAGAGAGAGAGAGAGAGACATACACACACACACACCCCGAGCCCAGGAGGACAAGGAAGAGGAGGCCCACAAGCCCAGGGCTGGCCAACGGCCTGGAGCAGAGCGGCAGCTGCAGAAGCCAGAGGGGGCTGGCCCGCAGCCCCTGACCTGCGAGCTCCCTCGGGCCAGCCCCAAACTCAAAGCCTTCCCAAAGCTTTTTCTTTCTTTCTTTCTTTCTTTCTTTCTTTCTTTCTTTCTTTCTTTCTTTCTTTCTTTCTTTCTTTCTTTCTTTCTTTCTTTCTTTCTTTCTTTCTTTCTTTCTTGTGCTCTGGCAGAGCTGACGGAGCAACCAGAGTTCTCCTGGCAAAGCAACAATAACGACTTGCCGCACACCTTTTAGTAACGCTCCTGGGGCTGGAGTTGGGGGGCGGGGAGCCTCAAAGCAAAAGGAGCTCCTTCCTGCTTGCCCCAACAAAGATACACAGCTGGGGGAAAGGTGGCGTTGCTGCCCCCACTTTTATGATCTCAGGCAGAGGAACTGTGCTTTGCTTTCCCAGAAGGCCCCCTGCAGCCTCCTCTACCCCAAGAGACCCTTTGCACACACCCCCCACCCCTGTTGTGGTCCCTCTCCCACGGCTGGCATTTCGGCCGGGGAGCAACAACGGCGGCGGCTGTTTGCCAAAAGGGAGCCCCGCTCTCAGCCAGCGCAGTGGACCCCCAATTACAGGGAAGGGCTGGGTGCCCAAACCGCAGGGGAACTTGGAGAAGGTGCTGGACAATAGGCTGCAGGCCTGTCACCCCCACCCCACCCCAGGGGGCTTTTCAAAGGGAGGGCAGACGCCCACCCGCTGGGAGGACTCTCGCTCTGGGTCTCCTTCCTTGGTGGAGGTGGGCTGAACTCCTGGCCACCCTCCCTGGGTCCCTTTCTGCAAGCTGGTCCCCAGCAGGGGAAATGCCGCCTGGCCCAGCAGCCCCCTCCCTCGCATGCAGCGTGAGGTCCTGAGAGGCCTTTGGCTTGCAGGCAGGGCCCCCAGGCAGGGAGGGAGGGAGGGAGGGGTGTGTCTGTCTGTCTGTCTGTCTGTCTGTCTGTCTAGGGGGCGGCTTGAGAAAGGGTTGTGGCTAACCCACCCCTCCTGCAGGCAGCCCCAGCAGCGATGAGGCTCTCTACCAAGGTGGCGCGCGCCAGCCTCCTCCCACTGCCCAGGCACCCTTCTGCAAAAGAGAGGCCTCCCCCACACAACCCGCTGTGTCGGAACCTCGCCCCCTCACCTGGCGCCCCTCACCACCCAGGCGTCGTAGGTTTGGTCAGCAAAGCCAGAGTTCTCAATCAGCCCGTCCCCGTCGGTGTCAAACTGGAGC